TGTGTTTAAAATAAACATATAAAATAATAGTGTTGATAACATTAGAACTCGTTTTCAACTTACAAGTATTTCTTTTTTTATTTACCGTACAAAATTTTAGACTCGAGTTAAATGTATTGTAAAAAATAGAAGTTAAATTTGTATAAAATAAAAAAAAAAATTAATGAAGAATGCTTAAAAAGGCAAGCTTTATATTTAAAATTATTTTCTTTTAATTATATTATACTAAATATTAAACTCCCGAGAGATATTTTTTCAAAAAAAAAAAAAATCATATCCTTTACAAATTCTTTCCAAAACATTTAATATATGCCAATACGTTTGTTTAGAATTCTATATTCGCATCATGCTATATACCAATGGTTTCCAATCTATTTTTGATCATGCCTCACGTAAGTATCTTTTAAAATTCTGACGCCTAATCCTCCTTCCACAGGGTATACAATACTTATTATTATAAAATTGAATTGCTATTCACGTGGAGAAATCCCAAAAGACTATTAACTAGATCTAAGCAAGCTTCCAAAAAACATGACATTCACGAATGAGAAAAAAACAATAGTTGAAAGCAAAAAATTCAATGCCGCCATGTTGATTACATGTGACCATAGATGATTGTTTTTTATCTGTGACACCACGATGATCATCAATAACAAAAATGCATTAGTCATTTATAATTGTAAAAATTAAATGATCATCGTCAATTAACGAATTTTTAATATTATAGCTAATTAGAGAATACTTCGAAATCAAAAATACACTATTCAACAATTGAAGATTTTTTAATTAGAAAATTACACATCTTATTACTGAAAATAGTTTTGTTATTTTATTTGTACTTGGAAGTAGAATTTTTTTATCATATTTAATCTATCATATATTGCATTTAATTTTTCTATGTTTAAACATTATGTATAACTTTATTGCGTAAGTGTATCAAAAATGTTATCAAGTGCAATCAAGTACACCAAAGGGCCACGGTGGTCACCCATAACCTCCAACAAGATAAAAGCTTTATGAATAAAAGAATGCGATCTTATATAATCATATACATGGAATAATGGAAATACTTTCGTGACGTCTAAAATAAAACATATGAATTCGACATGGCGGTCAAAGTTTCGAATCGCCATATTTAAATATCAAGTTGTCCCTCTGTGGGACAAATTGAGTACTACGACTGTACATATTATTATCAATAATATCGTATAATCGAAGATGACCGAATCGATTCCATTAACTTCTGTCAATCAAAAAAAATAAACAAAATACTCCTCCTCGTCGTATCAGTTCAATTTGCAAGATCAAAGAACTAGATTTCAAGAGGAAGAAGGAAAAAACATCGATTTCTCGTGATATTATCGCGAATTTGTAATTGGATATTCAAGCGGAAGTAAGGAAAGCACGAAGAGGACAAAATGTGGCGTATAATAGAACGGCGTCATGCTGAAAGAATCGCACGGTGTGCAAAAGAAGGAAGGAAGACAAGAAAGAAAGAAAGAAAGAGAGAGAGAGAGAGAGAGAGAGAGAGAGAAAGAGAGAGGATAGACGACAGGTAAGGTAGTTGAAGGGTAGGGACAAATATCATTGGCAAAGTAGCGGGGGGGGCGGTGGGGAGGGTGGGAGGGAAACGAGTAGCAAAGTTCAGGCATTGGCGATCAGTTGGAAAAGAAGGGGAAGAAAGGAATACGGTACGGAGGGGATGGTGGGGTAGAGTTAAAAGGTGCGCCTTCTCTAAGGAGACCGAGAAAAAAAGAGAGACGGACGGAGGTAGTAAGGTAAAAAAGAGAAAAAAAAAAAAAAAGAGAAAAAAAAAAAAGGAAATAAAAAGAAACACAAAGATAGGGGGAAAGCATACGACGAGAAAATTTCCATGACGTAGCCTACAACGTCGTAGTAGTCATGTATATAATACTTCGTTTACGTATGTAGTATGTAATACACACAGCATACGTATAAAACATACGTAAGGCTACTAGTATCGTCGTATAGCCATGAAAGTTCATGTCTATGAAAATGAATAATGAATAATAACAGGAGAAAAAAAAATTGATAACATAACATTATCGGGTACCGAAAAATAATTAGAAAAAAAAAAAAAATATTTAACGCAACCTAAACGTGATTGTCCTGGAAAATTAATTTTTTCTATACAAATATTAAGAACAACAATGTGTATTTATAATTATAAAATATTATTATAATTTAAAATATATAAAATATCATCAATATTCCGTATAGTGATACGGTATCTTATTTGTACTTAAATAAAAATGTAAATTGTATACAACCATTTCGCCATTGCGTTACATTACCTTACATACGCAATAACACGTCATCGGTTATGCGAAACGATCACTATATCGTTGGGTCCTAAGCTCTCTCTCTCTCTCTCTCTCTCTCTCAATCTAACTCTTTGCTTCGGATTCGGTCAAACCGGTTCTAAAACGACTACCTACTTGCTGCGAAAGAAATAAAAAATAAAAAAAAGAAAAATGTAATCCTGGGACTGTCGCGAGGTACTCGAGAAAATGGCAAACGACCGAGAGATTGTTGCTAAAGGCAAAGACTCCTCTTCTTCTCGACTATTTCTATCATACGTCGCACACACACACGCACACGTATACGTACGCATATACATGAATTCATGCATACATACTTTCCTACTTTCACCAAAAGCTAATCCTACGATCGTGAAATGAAATTCTTCGTTCTGATTATTTTCATTTTTGTATACGTATATTTATTTCTGGATGATGACGTAAACGTCATGCTACTTCCACGTGTTCAATGTACTTCAATTCTTAAGAAGATGACGAATCGTTCTGTTTATTAACATATCAAATATCAATAATAATAGTCTCAACTTGGACTATCTTTACTCGGTCATGGTCCAATGCAATCCATCAATCCGATTTATCGATAAATCGGATCGCGAATCAAGGTTACTATAAAACAAAAACATTTGACAATTTCAATAAGAACGAGAATTTTATAACGAAAAAGGAAGAGAAAAAAAAAAAAAAGAAATATCGTTTGTCGCGGTTATTCCGAATCATATTATTTCCAGGAAGAATCGCAAACCGCAAGGAAATGTGCGATAAAAATACTAATTGAAAAAAAAAGGGAGGGGGGAAAAGAAAAAAAACCTGGATAAATACTTTTTAAGCGATCATCGGATGGAAAGGATGGTTAGGGTGGGGAGGAATAGTGGGGTTGAGGGGAGAGGAGGGAGGGAGGGGGGGAGGGTAAAAAAGAGATTATTATATGTAGATAATTTCTTATCGTGTAGAAAGATTTGATCGATTCGTCAGTGATAAGGAAATATTTAGAAAAAAAAAAAAAAAAAAAAAAAAAAAAAAAAAANGATGGTTAGGGTGGGGAGGAATAGTGGGGTTGAGGGGAGAGGAGGGAGGGAGGGGGGGAGGGTAAAAAAGAGATTATTATATGTAGATAATTTCTAATAGCTAGGACGTGATGTAGCGAAAAAATTGTTGAAATTTCTTTTTTCTTTTTGTAGAAAAAAAAAAAAAAAAAAAAAAAAAAAAAACAGAAATTTTTAAAAGCACGCGCGCGCACAATAAAAATTTTATTGATCGATTACGTATTCCCTCGTGTGCGATAGATAAATACGAGATAATATTGCGTGACGAATCGTAATATCGATGTTCATTCTGACGCGTGATCCATCTGTGTTCTTAATTATTAGAGATAAAAATATTAAGTTAATTTGAACGGTGAAGATGTATCGGTAACGTTTCTTTTTTTTTTCGCCAATGCAAGAACGAATAAGATAATCTTGGGATATTTAATATAGGATAGATCAATTATTGACGATTTCGTAAGAATTATTATATGTACCTGTATTTATATATTATGATTTATTAATTAATCGAAATGAATGTTTTTCCTTATTGATAAATAAATTTGTGTCAAATGATGACACTCCAATACGTAAAAGAAATTACGAGAGAGAAAGAGAGAGAGAGAGAGAGAGAGTGAGGGAATTGCGCAAAAATGTCAAGTCGAGTTTGCGAAATTGACTGTTAAAACGAGTCTTATCGGTTAGATCTTCAACAACGTAGTTTTGTGTTCTATGGGAAAATACGCACAATCCTTTTACCGATTTCCTCAAATTCCTATGAAATTCAAAACTCTGACGCGTCGTTTCCGATAAATTAACATTTTTCATTTTTAATTTATACGAAAAAAAGAAAGAGAGAAATTTATTCTTCATGAATTTTAATCTTACACACGTTAATATCAAATTTCATCTGGCCCGTGTTGTTTAGGCCATAAGGTATGACAAAAAATAATCAACAACGAATATTACGTTTCGTTTGAATCTTTTAAAAGAGAAATCATTTTGAAATCGGACGAGTAAAGTATAATTAAACTCTTTCTACTTCTATATATATATATATATATATTTATTACGAAATAAAATAATATACTTATTATTATAGTTGGAAATGCGAGTAGTGCGCGGGCGCAAAAAAAAAAAAAAAAGGAAGAAGAGAAGAAAAATTCACAGTACAAACTATTTCTTTGAGTAGCGTTAACGTACGCTTAAAGATAACGGTAAATACACCTAATTCTCTCTTCGTATTCCTTATTTATTCAACGAGAAACATTATCTCTTTTATTGTATTTAACGACAAACCAATTAAAATTATCCAAAAGTAAATTATAACTATAACCTAGCTCATATTTTGCCGTAACACAAAAAATTAACCATTGAAGCGTTTATTTATTTCGTTTTTTTTTTTTCTTTTCTTCCGTTCCCCCTTTCGATAACCAAAGTTTACCTTTTAGTTACGCAACGTTATTCACGAAAGTTAAAAAGGAACTAGCACACGAGTCCGGCTAAATTTGGTAGCTCGGCAATGCGGAAATGGTTAAAAATACTAAAACGTTGATAAAGTAACGACTTATCATAATTTTGTAATATTAAACAAAATAATAATAATAATAACAATAATAATAATATTTAAACTCACCTGAAATTTGCCCCCGTGGACAGGTGGTGCGCCTTGATTTTGCATCTTGTGCGACATCTTCTCGAAAACGTACGGAACACACTCCGTATGTATTTATGTAGATATATATATATATATATATGATATCTATATATAACTTGGACTATTCAAACTTGTCTCTCTCTGAATGAATAAATACTCTTGCCAGATATTACACACTCTTATAAATGCGTCTATTTTTCTGTGTTTGTATACGCGCGCGCGCGCACGTTTGTGTCTGTGCTGCGTGTAAATATTTCTGTTTTCTTAGAGCAGAGAGAAACGCAAGGCTTCCGACGTTTCTCTTTCTTTCCAAATTTCTCCTCACGAACTTAATCCAAGTTCGATCTCTATTTATCAAATTCGCTCACTTTTCAAAAAGCTTCCCTTTTGTGGTTTTTTTTTTTTACTCACTCTCTTATAAAAGCGTTCTATTTAATTAAAAAATAATAACAATTAGGAGAGACGATCAGCCGAAAAACACGTGGCACGTGTATGTTGTGATTATTTTTGCTGCAGACGTTAATCAAATAATAATTTCTCACGTGCGCTAATATTCCTTCTTTATATTATTATTATAATAATAATAATAATAATAATATAAGCTTATATATGCATATATCGATAAGATTTATTTTCTCGGAGGTTTTTAATTTAAGAAAAAAGGAAAAAGACAATATAAAAATACGATCGAAAAAAAACAAAACGTTTTATGATTTATAATACGTATTATATATATATATATATTCTATTTCCAAAAGAGAAAATAAAAAGACTAAAAAAAAAACAAAAATAACACTAATGAATGATAGTATCGAATATGTAAAAGATAATCGTCGCGAATGTGTTACTTTTAAATAAGAAATTTGTTATATATATATATATATATTATTTAACAGCGCGTTGGTATTGATATTTGGATAAATAAAAACGAGACTGCTAATAATAACCGGCAAACAGAGAACGAACGTGTATCCGTCCCGCAAAGACTGAAACCAGAATGACGACGACGATCACCACCACGATGTGGGAGGCCGTTAAACGCGGCTTCTCTCCCTGCGACTTTTCTCCCCCCCCACCACCACCACCACCTCCTCCTCCTCCTCCTCCTCCTCTACCCGCCAACCATTCCCCCACCACCACACCACTTCCCTTTTTTTTTCCTTTTCCCTTTACCCATTTGCCATTGCTTATCCCCACCAAAGTTAAAGTTTCATTCCGCTCAGCACGCTTGCTTTTTACCCCCACCCCACCCCAACCCGCTATTCTCACCGATTGCCTACGATTCTCTAGCCCACCAACCCCCCACCACCACCTCCCCAACCCCCTAACCCTTGTCATAGTTACGCAGAGACGCGATTACACGAGATATCCTCATGGCCAAACTTTACGGGTAAACCTTACTAACTATTTAAACCCCCCCCCGCACCCCGCTTACCCTCCGCCAGCCCCCCCACTCCATTATTCTATTCTAATGTTGTTTTATCTGTCTCTGTCTGTCTCTGTTTCTCTCTATCTGTCTCTTTTCTTATTGTTAAATTTTTTATATATTCAATTCTTCCCTCTTCTCTTCCTTTTCTATTCATTCTTCTTTGAAAATATTTCGGCTACCCCATCGAGAACATATTCTTTTTTTTCCCCCTTAAAACCCCCCCTTAACTTTCTCCAGATTTCTAGTCCACTCATCTTGTTTGTATCTTTTTTTTTTTTTTTTCTTCTTTTTTAAGTAACATGTTACCAAAAATTCTAATTTTTGTCTGTCTGTTTGTGTTTGGGTCTTACATTTTTCTGATATATTCTTTTCTTTTTTTTTGATTAATAGGAACGTTTCTAATGATTGTGTGATACAGAAAGAAAGAAAATAAGGAATACAATATGATTTTGTTGTTATTTCTTTTTAATCGTTGATAACGTTTCAACGTATTATACTTTGATAATGATTCTGAATATCTAAAGATGAGATACATTTGTTTTTGTTTAGATTTTTATTAAGGATTTTTGTGAGGAGAGAGAGTATTTCTGTTTATCCTTAGATCGGTACCGTAAGTGTTTTAGAAGATATGTGTCATGTTCGAATAATTATTTTTATTTTAAATTGTAATCGTAAATAAGAGTAACAAAAGAAAATATTATTAGATAATATTTTAGAAAACTTTAAAGAGTACTGGTAAATTTTTATAAATTTTTCAAATAACGATAACATTGACTAAATTCACTTTAAATTGTAGCATTAGTAAAACCCGCCCCCATACCAAGTTATGATTTATAATCAAATTGTTATTTTACACTGATAAAAATTTTACCGTTGTTGCTACATTTGTGTTTGCAACTTTTGAAAGATTAAATGATGTCACTGAAAAAGCAAGAAAAGGAATAAAACAAGATGAAGTTTTGAATAAGATTTATCGATTTCTTTAATCTATATATTGACCGACCTTTCACGTCCTTTTTCTTTCAAGGATAAAATTTCGTAACATGCGGAATTGATGGAATTTTATTCTGAGATTTTTTACAAATAATCGTAATTAATAATTTATATCTATGGGGATGTGTTCAAATTTGCAAATATATATTGTTATTAAAAATTTATTGCATAATTTATTATTGAATATTTTCTCGATTTCATAACTTCCTTTCATTTTTTGTTTTGTTTTAATGCAAATAGGATAATCTATGTTTTGATAAAGCTCAATAATTATCGATAATTCAACTATTAAAAAAACAATTTTATTTAATTTTTTATGACCTTCTATCGCAAATGCATTAAATTTACTTGTTCTTATCGTTATTATGTTGAAAAGAAATTTGTTGATTTATCTCTATTTCTCTCTTTTTCTTGCATTGAATGATTAAACGCAGAAAATTGTAAAATTCGAAAATAGATTATTTTGCAAATGGGAATGAATAAAAAAGTAAAAAATAAATAGATATGATTGATTTTTATTATTACTACATTGAAAATAAATTTATTGATTTATCTCTTCCTCTCATTCTCTCTCTCTCTCTCTTTCTTTTCCATTGAATGATGCAGACGCAGAAAACTATGAAGTTCAAAAATAAATTATTTCGTAAAAGGAAATGTACAGAAAAAAGAAAAAACTATAATTTTTTTTCGATTACGTAAAAACAATTAATTCGATAATATTCTTCAACTTGTATACACAGTTTACTTTAAAGTAAACTCGAGATAAACTCTAATATATCAGAATAATTGTTGTTAATTCTAGTGTTTTTCTTATCACGTAACTTGTTCACGATTAAGATTAATAATATCACGTTTATATCACGTAATATTAGATTACTCGGAAAATTTTCTGCCAATTTTGAAAAAAAACATCAATCGGAACAAATTTGTCGGACAAACCCCCTCTAATAAAATCTTTACTTTGGCAAAATATTTAAGGAGACTCAACAAACAAAAACGTATTACAACAAATAAATATTTTTAACAAATTAAGAGAGAAAATAAATTCAACTTCTCCGATTTCTTTAGAATAAGCAAAACTTAAACGAAGTACAACATTCATTTTATACGCAATATGACGACGTATATCTCAAAGTTATGCATTTCGTTTAATTTTATTTACAAACGTCAGCATTAAAATCGTACGCTTTATCGCGTAATATTTTACACCAAAGGAATCCCATGTATACCCATGCGTTACAAATAAAGGCTACATTGCTATTTATCGCAAAAACAATTTAATTGTTAACACAATAATGATAGAGATCGAATAAAAATACGAGTAATCATTAATACTTCGTAAAAATGTATAAATTTTCATTGGAAATCAAATTTTAACAATTTCAAATCATACCGATAAACAAATAATTATTCACCGTAAAAATTAACTCTTATAATCTTAAAAGAAAAAAACAAAAAATATTCTACAATTAAATACAAATGATAAAGAATTGACTATTTGATTTAAATAATCGATCAAATAGTAATCGTGTAATCGAACGAACAAAAGTAATCACAAAAACTAAATGCATTTTATTTGAAATCCAAATTGAAAACTAATCATTCGATAGTTATTAATTAATTTCAGTATCTGCGTTGAAAATAAAAAAAAAAGCTGTGCAAGTAATTAAACGGGTAATCTAACATCAGATACAACAAATAATCCACGCACATGTTATGTGCATATAAAAAAAATCGATAAGTTCACGTTTTAATATTGATCTATCAATCTTATCAATGAAAGAGACCCGAAGATATTAAATGAAGCATCGTCTTTCTCTTTGATTATATATATATAGAGTTGTATATAAACCTCGAGTATCATATGATGGTATAGCATTCCTCGAATCCGAGTCGCGTCTAATTCTAAAGTGAAAACTTTCCACTCGAAGGAAGGAAGAAGAAAGGAAGGAAGAGGAGAGTTTCGCTAAAGTCCCACAAGAGTCAGAACAGAAACGCGCGAAAGTTATGCTAAATAAGAAACTAGAGAGGAACGTGCGTTGGCATGACGCCTTCTTCTTCTTCTTCTTGTTCATGCCTTAGTACTATAATCTTTGATTCCACTTTACAAATATGGAAAGGCAATATGAGGGGAGGGGCAAAAAGGAAAGTAAAGATGTTCCGATGAATAAAATCAAAGAGAGATATTCTAACGCGATATTCATAAAAAGAATAAGAAGAAGAAGAAGAAGAAGATGAAAGACAAATTCTGACGTAGGAACGTCAGAACAGGCGCCAAAAAACGAAAACACATACATACCATTTATCCTCGCCAATATCACCCATATTCCGCCCACACCCAATGCTCCAGATTCAGTACTGCTGTCCCCGCGCTATTTGATGATAAAAATTGTTTCGTAGCCGATCGAAGAAGTAACCCAGACATCTCGTCGCCAATTTCGCATCAAAACCCGCCTATTTGCTATGTAACTTTAAGAAAGGACGACCTTGAAGAGAGAAACAACTTTTTATCTATACCATCGTTTTCTTTACTCTCGTTTACTTTATTTTTATTCTCATTCTCCTTTCATTTTTGGACGTCAAGGAAACTAATACCAACTATGAAAGATGAAAGAACGAAAAACCAACGTAGTTGTGTGGTGTTATATATATGTGTGTCTAGCAGGAATGTGTGCGCCTTGCAAGCATGAACCGGCAAAAAGGTCTTGTGGAGGGGAAGAGAAACACATTGAGAGAATGAGTGAGAGGGTACGTATAAGGGGAAAGAAGGGGAAATGAGAAAGAAAGAATGAGAGAGAAAAAGATTCCTTGTCCCTAAGAGGGGACCAGACGCATGAGGCCCGCCAACGAACCCTCCTTTGTACAGTACGCTACAAAATTTTTCAACTTCTTCAATTTTCTTCTATCCTTTTGGAAACAACTTTTTGATACGATTCTATCGAAAGTTAGCCAATAAGAAGCAAGGACGGAAATATTGATTGATTGATTGATTGATTTATTTATTTATTTATTTATTTAACATGCTCGAATTTAAAATACCCCCATCCATTTGTATTCCTGTCAACGTTGCAAATTGATTACTGTTTTTTCTTTCGTTTTTTTTTTTTTTTTGTAACTATTGTAAAGTAAAATGATTTTTTCCTTTCTTAATTTATACCTTCTTTACGCTCTAGTTCTTTTTACGTCGTTTGTTTTTTTTGTTTTCTATTTTAGGGCAGTCCAGGTTAAAAGAATTACTTTTACTTTTTAACGTCAAGTTGATATTCGTGCGATTCTGTAATTGACTTCCGTTTATTGCGAGATGGTAAAATTCGAGATAATGAACGTTGATGATATCGCGTAATCCTTGTAAATCCCCATGTCTATACAGCATGGAAAGATTTCAGTATGATAAATGAATGATGAATAAATTCGAAGCTCGAAAAAAAAAAAGTCAATAAGTGTTAAATCCTGGAAATGTTCTCCCTATGTTTAAATAGTTAGCGTCGGCCGTACGTTAATCTGGTTTTTAGGCGCAGTTAAACGAAGCGTCTACAAGACGCCGGCGACCGATGGAAATTTCCATTGCAGTTGGCACGTTGTGCGGTGTGACCGTACAGTCCACCATAAAAATTATTCCCCTTCTTCTTAATCTATTCGCTTTTTTCCTTAAACAAGACCTCTTACAAACGATCGATGCATTATCAATGTAGAAACATTGCATAGAAATGCGAAAAGTTAACTCATCTTATCTTTCTTCGAATCTTACGATGTTACAATTCTAAAAGATTAAATTAACTTAAGATATTTTTCAATCATTGATCATCGTTATAGCAAACTCAGTTGTGACATTTATAAACGTTTTTTTATCATTCGCATACCATACTAAGAAATACTAACGAAGGATGATTAAACAAACGTATTGCGACAATACATTGTACAAGTTCTTGACTTATTATCAATGTACAATGACGTGTCACTGTACAATTTTTCCTAACTATATGCTATTTCATGATTCTAAGCAATACAGATTTTTTAACTTAATTAAACTTAAATGGAAATATAAATATTCAGGAATTCGTAATCGTTCTATTTATATGTAAAGTATTATAATAATATTTTAATACGATTCATCCTGGAATAATGTGTCATTAAAAAAACGTTTGTTGGGTAATCGCCAATGAAAGAAAAAAAATATGAGCATCGCAATGACGCACGTGGTACGCTTATGTAATCAAAAATTCTGGTATGCCATTTAAGAATTTTTCCTCTTATTTTATTTATATAATTTTACTGTCAACAGTAAATTATAATAAAATTATTCAAATTATATAATCGTTCATCAAGCGATACTATATATACTAAATTAGGAATAATGAAACGATAAATGTCATTACACAAATAATTGTAACTGTCAAAATTCGCGGTTACTTTAGTTAATAGAAATATTCTGTAGAGAGCGCTGAGTTCTACGCTGCAACCAATAAGCTGGAACAATGTTATTGGTCGCTTGCTACGTGTCAAGTTATTCGATAATACAACCTAACTGATTTCTGATTGGCTATTACTTATATCTGTCTTTATTTTCATAGAAATAACTAATGAAAAAATATATTTTTCATGGAAATAGAGTTTGTTATTAGAAAATATCTTACAGTAGATTTTCATTCAAATAAAAAATATACTTAGTGGTTTAATCGTATCATCAAGTTACTTCTAGTATAATCGGATAGTAAATTTCATTGAGATTTTTAGTACTTGTCATTATTGGAAATATTTATTTGATACAAATAAATTAAAATAATTGCATAATTAAAATTAATTCGACTAATTTATAGTGAATAGTTTTATTTTATTTAACGAAATTTACGTACACGTTGTCGCGTTAAGTCAACTTTACCAAGCAATGTGATCGATCAACGGTCAGGGTGAACAAAATATCTGTGAAGATAAATTGTACAAATAATTAAAAAGTAGAGAGGTTAATAATAGTGATGTTCGACGTAAATCTAAATATTATTTCTTTTACGTGATTAATTAGTAGTGTAAATCATAGCAATTTAGGAAACGTTAGTGAAATGTGATTTCAATATTGTTAATAAATTATTATTAAAAAGAAAACTAATTACCGGTTAAAGCATTTAAGTTTTTTTTCTTTTCTTGTTCAATACAATATAAAAATATAGAATATAAAATACCGAAGGAAAATAATTAACTAGAAGTTTTTTGACGGTGGTGATAACATGAATTACTACCTTCGTATGTACCAATTGATGCTTGCAAAAAGGTTTTTCTGTTTCATTATTTTTAATTTTCTAGAAATACGTATGGACAGTTTAACATTAACATGTCAACATTAAAATTAAGTATGCAGGATAAGAAAGACTTGGATAAGTTTATCAAATTTCTGGCGTTAAAGGCTGCTCAAATCATCGTACAATCTAGGTCTGGAGAAAAAGTGTGTACAAAATGTAAACCAAATTCAAAGGGAACCGATTGGGTAAGTTCTTATAATCCATATTCACATTCGGTTTATTACGTTTTCATTATCTTTTAATTTAATGTATATTTGTACACGAGCTACTTATTTGCCAAGTTCATCAGCTCTGCTAAACAAAAAAGTAAAGAAAATTAACAAAGTAATATACATTGTTATATAGTTTTGTATCAAACGACTATCAAGATTGTTTTTGTATAATGTAATTAAATTCATTGTTTATTTTAAATATGAAAAGTTGAATTAATCGTTTTGGCTTGTGAATAGTTTGCATATGGTTCTACGTGCAAGATTTGCTTAAACCATCTGGATTTTTTTTTAAGAACTCTTTGCGGTCACATAATTGTTTTTAGTATGAGTACTTAAATTCTCATTTTTTTTTATTACATTCTCTTTATATTTTAATTGCGATACACTGAAACGTATAGTCATCCAACATTGTACGTTCATTGTGTTCTACTTGTAACTATAGTCAGCCATATATATTTTGTATAAGGTTTTAATTTTTTAAATCTAAATTGCAAAACTTTGTAATTAAATTTATGTTTACATTGTAACTGACCTATACAATAGTACATTATTTGCAATGCAAGTATCTGTACAGTGGAAGAGTACTTGCGAACAACATAGCTGTATCGAAAAGGTTAAACCAGAAATGGCCAACCTTTTACATACCACGTGTAATTTTTTTGAACATAAGAATCTAAATGCGTCATATAACTCAAGAAATTTTTCTATCTTCTTACATTCATAATTGCAGTTGGAAAACAGGAATAAGGATAGGATCTGCTTCGCTTAAGGGGTTACATGGGTTTACACCGGGAAAAAATAGCATATTTTCAACAATTTTTTTTTCTATATAAAAAATGGAATTCTTATTCAAACTTTTTATAGTATTTAAGATACATATTTAAAGAACATTTTCTGAATTTTTGGTTGAAAAATATTTTAAACTCAGCCATTGCGACGTCATTTCCGGTGACCCCACCGAAAAAAAGTGTTTTCGCGTTGACAGCAGAACTTATAAACGGTGGGGGTTTTTCTGTTGAAACAATAGGGTCTTGTAGTGAATACTTAAAACTAGAAACTGGACGAAGGAAAAATAAAAGAATTAAAATTTGGATTTTTGGCAACGTTTTTAGCAAGAACATTCAAATTTTGCTACAATTTTCACCACATTTTGGTTTCTTAAAATTCGATTTTATGAAAAAAAACGAAAATCCTTCGTCCAAGTCCTTGTCAATAGTATCACGAAGACGTGTAGCAAATTTCATSAAAATCGGTTAAATAGTTTTCGAGAAATCTTGACAACCGACTTTAGAAAAAGCGTTTTGAAAAAAACGCGTTTAAAGATTTGAGTGCTGGTATAAGAGCCATTAAAGAGTGGAACTTCCCAGGGCTCTATCTTTAAAACTACTACTCCTATCGACTTCAAAATTAAATACAATATTCTAGATGAGTTGTAGAATTGAAAAAAAAAAATAAAAAAAAAAATTTTTTTGAAAGTCCCAAATCCATGTAACCCCCTAAGGGAAGAATAGGGATAACTCAATTATGCAATTAAATTAATTAATGTATACCAGAAAATATGAAGATGAATTCAGTTACAGCGTCTACTTGTGCCATTTGAAATCATGCACCATAGGTTTGCCATTCCTGATTAAACCATATGAATCTATGTTCTAGAATTTTTTATGGCCATAATTTTGTTTAGTATGATTGCCTGCATTCCCGTTTTTTCATTGCCATTTCTTTATCTTTTAATTGAACTAGCACTTATATACAAGGTGTTTTATAAAATCATGTTAATACTTCAGAGAGTATATTTATACACTAAAATAATTTTTTAAAATGTCATATGAACGTATGTCCGATATATTTTAGTTTTTGAGAAACGAATGATTAATATTAAATTTACCATGCGTAGTATATGACTGCGTCCTGTAATTTGTAAAAATCTGATGAAGACGCATCAAATGTACATTATTCATATCTAAATAAAAGAAAATATATTGTTTACTATACGATTGGTTAAAATTTCATTCTATATTAAGATATATATTTTTTGGAAGCAGTAATTTGACCTCTCACAGTAAGAATAAATATACATGAAGAATCAGTAGGTTTAGTGTTAAAGAAAATGTTCGAAATGGCCATTTCTCAAAACAAGCTACAAGTTATTTAAAAAATGTTCATGGAAAAAATCTTTAACAAATGTTGTACATCCTTTAAAGTAATGATTAGTAGTATATTAATTATAGAAAATTAAAGAAAGGAAACACACAATTTTTAAAATACCAATTTTTATTATTTTGTTTTTAAATAATAATTTGTATGTATGATAAAATTTGTTTGTTTACCAATAATTATTAATGATGAACAAAATTTAATTTTGATTGTTCCTAACTGTTATCAATGACTTTATTTAGTGTAAATAAAACTTAGGTCATTCTTGATAATTATTAATAAAAAAGTTATATTTTAATTGCTCATAATTACTATAAATGACTCGGAATCCTATTTTCAACACACATATCAGTTATCGATGAGATGAATTTATTTCAGTAGCTTTTAATAACTATTGATGGCGGTAATTGAATTTCGATTGGTTTTAATAGTGTAGTATTATATTGTTTTGCATTTGATTACAATGATTATGATTTGTTAAAGATTATTTTAAATGATTTGCATTGCAATTTATATCTAGAAAAAATTAAAACATTTAACGTTTCTTAAATTGAATGATATTTCATTATTCTAAATAAAAGAAGTACAATACAACCGAAACAATACATTTGCCATTAATAACTGTTATAAGTGATTGAAATAAAGTTCCTTATTAATAACTTTTATGAACAATGAAAATAAATTTTCCTCAACGATAATCATTATGAATGATGTAAACAAAATTTCTTTTATCGATAACTATTATAAGCAACTAAAAATACATTTCCCTCATTGATAATTGTTACGAAATAGAAACTTGCTTATTGATAACCGTTAGTAGCGATCAAAACATATTTTCCCCATTGATAATTATTATGGCCAATTGAAATAAATTTCTCTTATCAATAATGTATATCGGTAATGAACAATTTTCTTTGATCATTTGTTAAAAATCATTTCAATCGAACAAATCATTATTATGCTACAACTTTTTTTTTCATTTTAATTATAACAATTACGGTTCCTGGTTTTAATCAATTCATAGGTGGTTGATATTTAGAATATTTTTTTTAATCATCCATAATTTAAATACTAAAGTATATCGGATATATGTTTATATGACATGTTTTACTTTTTTTATTAAATAAGTATTGATACGTATTTACGAAACACTCTGAATATGTTTGGTATATATTAAGCTATTTCAATTATTTGAATCTTTTTTTCTATAACTTTTTGTGGACATAATCCTTTGCAATATAAGTATTTTATTAGTTTAAATTATTTTCCCTGGCATAATGTCTAATGTACACTTGACCAATTATCTATTCCTATGAAACTATTCTTTTCGTTTATTTCTTTTTAAAGTTTATTTTTTTTTTTTTATATATATTTCACATGCATAATATATAAGAATATGCATACAGTGTAATAAGACAAGTTTCATAGGGTTTACTTTTTAAAACATTATCAATTATGTAAATTCTATCTGACTGCGTGTTCTTACTACAAAAAAAAATAAATGCAACTGAAAAATGTGCAATGCATTGCTACATGAAATAAATGTTCCATATTGATTGATAATGTGTTAAATAACAACTGCTTATTTGCAATATATATATCTTACAATTAATATATAACAATTAATATATAACAGTAATAATAAAAGTAATGTATTTCTAAGTATTTCAGAATTTGACCACAAAAAAAGAGTTTAGATAAATTTATATTATTGAAAAATTATTTTATTGTTTGATCCATATAAGTTAATCCTTGGCGAACGAAGAAGTAAAATTGTCGATCTACTTTTTTTTGTATATTACGCATCGTATTGATATACTTATTAATTTTTTTCAATAGATATTTCTTATTTATTAGATTCGCGAATACAACTATTATAATTTTTGATTGTTAAATAACATAGAAATTGTATATTTATATAATGTATATATAAATATTAATTATTATTTCTTAATAAATATTGTGTGTGTGATTTAACTTTAAAATGCAATAATAAACTAGATGCGTATATTAATAACTAATCGTATACGCTGTTGATTCACATTGAATACCAACGTGCGTCATTCATTCGCAAATAGCTAAATAACTACATGCTTTTTATTATAATCTTTTGATATAAATAATATATTTATATGATAATGGTTTTTTTCAATTGTATAGTTCAATTTAGCAGTTCAAGATTTACCGGATGCCTTAGCAGATGCTAAGAGAGCACTAAACAGTGATATAGCGAGTTCTACGATACCACTCTGTATAGAAATATCTTTAAGAACTGTAGAAGGTGATACAATGGTTTTGGAAACATGGTGTTTGGGTGTTCTACCAGAACACAGTGATCCTACAGTAAGAGTGACATATACAGTCTACAACAGGATGGGTATTTTACTTAAATCATTACTCTCTGTCTCGAGGGTTACTCCAGCTTATAAATTAAGTCGCAGACAAGGACCAGATTCTTATGTTATTTGTTACAATATTTATATGGGGGAACCTCAACTACATACTTTAGGTATTTATATTCATACATGTACACTTAACTTTTCTTTTACATATCTTTTTATATGGTTTTTAAATAACGCGATTCGAGAAAAAAAAAATTATCTTTTTTATTTTATTTCATTTCATTTCATTAGAATTATTATCAATTAGCGAAGAATAATTACTAAAATGTTACTTCTATTATTTTTTATTTTAAATTTTTTCTTGTTTCTTTTTATTATACATATATGTGTGTGTGTGTGTGTGTGGTATTTATTGTATTTTAAATTAGTAATTAAAATATTTATGAATCTGATTTTACTGTTAAATGTACGTATTGTATGCAGATATGTCTGCAGGGTGAGTCAGTTAAAACCGATCACTTGAATAATTTCTACAATATTAGTAAAAGGAAAAAATGTTTGAAGTAAAAGTTGTTTATTATTGAAGGATTCATATTCATATTATGAGGACCATTCATATTATAGGGAATATTTTCTCTTGGGTGGAAGTATATAAAAGATTTAGAGGTCGTCATCATTTTGTATATTTTTGTTACATAATTCATCTCTTACAATTGTAGCATTTTTCAAGACAAATTCAATGATCATCTATATTTTAAGATTGTAGACAAAAAAGTAGAAAAATTACTATTTATTATAGTATTGTATAAATAAAACGAATCAATATATTTCTTAAATAAAATATTCATGGTCTTATTATTAAGTTCTTCTCGTTACGTAACTCGTTCCTTGATAATGAAGAACTTTTATTTGAAAAATTGTTTCCTATCACTAATATTGTAGAAATTATTCAGGTGACTGGTTTTAGTTGATTATCTCTATTTACATATCGCAAAACTTATACTGTTAAGTTTTAATTACTTTTTTTTGTATAGTTTCTTTTTACATTTGTGCTATGTTAAAAAAGAATTAAGCAGATACAGGGTGTGCCTCAAAGTATACCGGCTAAACTGTAGGAGTATATTTTACAAATGGAAATAAGAACAAAAAATGTTATTTGAAATTTGATTAAAAACGCTTTATAACAAAATTAAAAACAAATAAAATTGAAGTAGGTAACAGTAGATTGCCTGGATTAATAGTATCATATCACTCTGTATTTATTAATAACTATTTTCAATTATACAATTTGTATTCATTTCGACCTAGCAGTGAATATCATGTTGTTAGTTCAGCTTTGGAATATCAACGACACTCTGAAAGAATCTTAAACTTTGTTAATAATACTCCTACATAAGAGATTTGACGTGTTTTATCTCAACTATAGATATTATGAAACACGAATTGGAGAAGGTTGTAAGCCAAAAAAAAGACTCGCTTATTATTATTCAGCTGCTCAAGAATTATTTCCAACATAGAACCAGAAACGAATTGAATTTTATAATCGGTATGTGAATGCAGTAGAAAGGGGTTATTTTAATTATTTGATGTTTAATGACCTGCTTAATGGTCAATTAAAAAATTATATTGTTTCAATAATTATATAAAATATATAATTATTATTATATAAAAACTTATTACATTATATAATTTATTTTAATTTTATTTGTTTATAACTCTCTAAAAAAGCGTTTCTAACAACTTCAAATACAGTATTCCCTCCATTTATGTGGTTTCTGTTTACGAGGATTTGCTTTAAAAATGTTTAGGAGGTATGCCAAAATGTTACTCTAAGAGAATGTTTTTTTATTTAATATTTAAGTCAAAAATAAATATTTTTGCTAATTGATCCACTGTGTCGTTTAAAAGTTATTGCAATTTAAAATAATTGTTATTTTGCACGTGGGGTTTTTTTGCGATTCACAGAGAACAGATTAAACATATAAATAATATAAGATCAAAAGTTATCAAGTGTCCTAAATTTGTATTTTATATAACTTGAACATTTTTAAATCGATTTTGCATAGTTTTATTGATATTCGCTAAACAGTTATTGAGAAAAAAAATTATAAACAATCCGAAAAGCAAGTTTTCATTCGGTAAATTAATTAGTGTATAACAAGTGCTGCAATACTGCACTCACAATCAGTTGAGAGCTAAAAATGTGACTATAGTTTTGTAATTTTGTTTTTTCTATTTATCAAAACGTCGAATAATTAATATTTAAGCATTAATGATACTTTGATAATCAGAATAGATAAAAATTTACATGAAAATTATTTTTGTTGTTAAGTTAAAATCAACGCATATTCACTGTTAAAAGTTATTTAAAATTATTTTCGTATTATTTATTATTTCTTATTAAATTCAACATTATTGGTAATATAGCCTCTCTTTTTTTAATTATACATTCTTTTCTAGCTTGACATAATTAACCCTTCTTTGCATGATTTTTTTTTTTTTTTTTTTTGAAGTTGCCAGCAACAACAAATAAACAGTACAAGTTTTGAGTACCTTTTTTTGTTGACCTAATATTATGATTGAAATTTCCATCATCATGCAAAGAAGGGTTAATTTATTTCATAACATACTGTGAAACGTAGATATTCACAAATTTTAAATCTTCAGCATTTTTACCTCCGATTGTACCTCTCAAACGTAACATGTTTCAGCTATCAAAGCCCAGATGTCACCACGATGCATTATGTGAAAAATTCCGGGATTCCCCTGTTTAATGTAATTCATAATTACGTAAAATTATCTGCAGTTGTGTAATAAACATTTACAGTTAGATAAAAAATTTGTAAGATCAATAAATAATAGCATCAACAAAAGGGATACTATTAATAAAATTATTTTAAAAAGATGAGAAAATTAATAACATTGCTTGATTGTATAAATTGAATGAATCCACAATTCACGCGATTAAAAAAAATGCTGACTTTTCATAGTTCTATTTACACACTGTTTTCTTGGAACAGATTATAATTTAACACATTGCAGACGGATGACAATATATCTCATCCTTCATATGTATCGTAAGCGGCCTTTAACGAGATATATCTCATCTTTCATATATTATTAAATTAAATATTTTACTTGACAATGATTGTTAACTACTTACAAATCGTAAATAATTTAAAAACATTTGATACAAAAAAAATACCTTGTTCCTGGATACGATTAGCAAGAAAATGTCTCTTCCTTAATGTATTAGAGGAAGGGATTACTATAACTGTTTTTTCTTATTTCCACTTATGAAATATACTCCTGTAGTTTGACAGGTAAATTTTGTGGCATCCTGTATATTAATATATACCCACTATACAGGGTGAGTCACTAAGTTTTGCCACCAAGATAGCTCCAAAAGTATGATAGTAGCAGAAAAGTTTATAGAACAACAGTTGCATACAAAATTTCGGAGTATAATATTACAGCAGTTTTTTTTACTACGTGTAATCGCTTCCGAGATTTAAAGGTCAAGTTTGTTTTTTTAAATGGAATGCTATGTTTTAGTACTTATTTTCTGATAACGGCTGTTGAGCCGAATTTAATGATTTTCGGAGCTATCTTGGTGGCAAAAGTTAATAAATCACCCTGTGTAACGTTTGTTCAAATAAATTCATGTATTTATACTAGTCAATTATTTTGACTCTAGGTGACAACTACAAGCATGTACGAGTAGGACAACTCTGTACTCCTGTTGGTACCATTCATTTATCAGTATTGTACAGGACTAAAATGACAATTTCTCCAACCCATACAGGACGAGATTCGATTATGCTCAAGAGTGATCATTTTCATTCAGATTTAAGTCCACGTCATGCCCGTTATCAGCAAAAGTATGATATAAATTATTGTTTATATGTATTTTAAATCAGATATACAGGGTGATAAAAAAGGGCCTAATATTTAAAGAGAATATAGTGCTTATCAAAAGGAGTAAAAAATATCTAACATGGATCTTAAAGTCAACCTTTTTAATCTAAAATAACTTTTATTATTTATAAACATTTGATATCATAAACGAGTCATTTGACAATATATTAAATGTACACAGAAAAATTTGCTACGTCAACTGGTCGTTATAGTTATTTCAGGATTTAACGGTAACATATACAGTACCCGCCATATATTACTTACGGACACTTGAAAAAATTTTTATTTTTATTATCAAATTACAAAAAATAGATACAATTATACGGTAGTCATTTGTATATATAATAAGTGTAAACACTATTGCATACAGTAGTCATTTGCATATATAGTAAGTGTAAACACTATTGCATACAGTAGTCACAAAACTTTGACTTACTTTCTAATATTAATAAGAAAAAAAATTGTTTAAGTTCCGGTGTAATATTTTAAGCAGACGCATACTTAAGGACACATAAATAATTTTCATATTTTACAATATTTATTTAATTTGTAAGTTTTTATACATTAATATGTAATTGCTAAACCTTCCTGTTTTATAACGTCACTACATTTTTGTGGCATAGATTGTATTAACTGAATGCATCTCTCTTTTGATATGGACTTCCAACCATCTTGGATAACGGTGTATAATTCTTCTAAATTTTTTGGTTTTTGTTGTTTTACGAATTCGTCAACGTCGATCCATAACATTTTCATCGGATTTAAATCTGAAGACTGTGATGGCCATTTCATTTTTGTAATATTTTGTTTTTTTATAAATCGTTTTACTTTGCGAGCGATGTGTATCGAATCATTATTAGCCTGATAGATCCAATCATTTGGAATTTCATTGCTGGCATATGGGAGTAACACATTTTTAAGTATGTTCAAATATATATAACGGCTCATGGTTTCTTCTATGCAGTATATGGGACCGGTTCCATTAATACTCATTGCACCCCAGACAAAGACAAAACCTTCACCATCTTTGACTGTGGATTTTGTACAAATATTTTTGGATTCTTCTCCTATGCAGTGTCCCATATAAGTTTCTTCATCAGAATACAATCGATTAAACTTCGACTTGTCCGTAAAAATTACTTTAGACCATTGTTCTGACGTCCAATGAACATGTTCTTTGGCGAATGCAATTCTCTCTTGTCGATTTTTTTCCGAGATGTATGGTTTTTTCCGTACCGCTTGATCCATTTAATCAAATTTATTTAAACGACGACGTATCGTTCGAACACTTTTTTTTTAATCCAAATTATGATTAATTTCCAAATGAATAGCTACTGTAGTTTTAAATTTGCCGATAAGATTTTCTACTTTTTAAATATAAAATTAACGATGTGATATTTCTTCCCTTACTCTTTATAATACGTCTAAGTACGAAAACTACTCAATCGAGATTGATAGATTGATTCATATCCCGGATATATATATAGATTGATAGAATGACTCATATCCTATATATATAGTATATCAGATGTATATATGTATGTTATATATGTATATGATTCTATATATATGTATATATATATATATAACAATTTCATATATGTTTTTTTAGCGAAGAAAAGTCTAAATCTTTGAGCGATACTTTAAAAATGGGAGCATTTGCCGCTAGTAATCCACCTTTGGTTAAAGAAGGAGATTTAGTAATACCAGATGTACCATTTAGTTCTTTGCTAACTCCTCGACAAACATCACCACCACCTGGTCCTCTTGCTGATACTATGAATACGAAAAATGTAACAACAAGTGTTCCAACAGATGGTAATAATGGTAACAATGAAAAATTGTCAAACGATAATGCTACATCGAAACCTAATTCTCAGAATGAATCTAGAAGAAGTAGTGCACATGATGATTTTATTATGGTAGATTTGGTAATTAAAGTCTTTAATAAGTATTTTAATTTAGATTTTAAGTAAGCTTAATGTTTCTTTAATAAATTTCTTTTAGAAAACACCTTTTGCTATTACTAATACCAAAAGCGATTTGGGAGCCTTTTATCGAGCATGTCAAAGTGCACCTCAACTTCAAGCATTTATGGAGGAAAGAACATTGGCGGAACAAGTCGGAGATCTTACTAAACAATTGGAAACATTTGAAACAAATATGCAACATTACGAAGATATTTTATCTTCGTTATGTCAAACAGAAAACAATAACTAACTAACAGATATTCAATGTATTTCGATACGTAAGAATATAATTTATCACACTATGCATTGATATTTATTAACATTGTTCTCATCAAGTAGTATACATCATTATTATTATTATTAGCAATGAATACCAATTTGCTTGGTGCTCGCGTTCAATAATTATTACTCGTCGATAAAAACTAGTATTTGCTTCAAAAATATGCTGCTTCTATTATATTTTTTCTTTTCATCAAATTGTGTAGACTTGATACTACAAGTAATCTTTTATAATACAAATTTTGATAAAATTTCAGTTAAAGCACCATAAATATTGTAACTTAAAGCATTCTAAAGTATATGCTACTGTTAAATGTTCTCTTGATTCTCATAAACATTTAAAAAATAATGTTGGATATTAAGCCTTGTTAGCTTAATGTAAGTAAGCATAATGTATGCATGTGTGTGTATGTGGGTATGCTTGACACGCATATATTTATATATTTACATATATAAATATACATCATACGTTAACCCTCTATTAAGCCATGTTATTTTACAGATATACGCTTATATATTTTAATTTTATATTCTATATTACTTTATCGTTAACAAAATTTATTGTTACTTAGTATTCAAAGTTTTTAATATTCTTTGAGTATATCTGTTCTTCGCGATTTAAACAGTATAACTTAAAATAATATTTAAAAAAGAAAACTATGCATATATACAAATATCTAATACATTTGCAAGGAAAGTAAAAATGTAAATTTGTTATTGCTTACAAATGGCCATATCTATTTTTAATAGATGGTCATTTATCCTAGTAATTATATAACCGTTAATTATTCTTCAATATAATTGTGACTTTTATAATATAAATAATTCTAAATCTTTCGATACAGCTATGTCATTAGCGAGTATGCTTTCATTGTATAGGCTAGTATCAACATGAATTTACATTTTATCACATAGCGGTTGAAAGATGGGATATTAGAATCTAATGCATTTTAAAATATGAAGTTACTTACTGGTAATATACCATAAACATCGAATGTTAGGTGACTATAGTTACCAGAAGTATCGAAAGAGTTAATGTAAAATAGATTAAAAACTAAAAAAAATTAATTTTTTCTAATTTTGTTGACTTAGTTTGAGATCATTATCATTAGCACATCTATTAGAAAGTTTTTCTAATGTTATTGGTAATTAAGTGGTTTCAAACAAACTGTTTACGCAGATCCAAATCGAGTAGTTTAATCGAGTTAAACTTTTATGATATGCTCAACGTAAGTTAATCAAAAAAGAACAAAAAAATATACAATCAAATAAGAATTTGAGATTTGTAATATGCGATGAACTCGATAAAACAATTGAAAATCATTTTTACGCATATGGAAAAAAATGCATTTTCTAACTATGTATAAAGTGTACTGTATGAATCGAAAGATGAATTTATATATATTTAAGTTTTATATTTAATACGATATTATTATACTCTTAGTTATAATAATAACTTTTATATATGTATTATATATTTAATATTATTTTCTAAACATGTGACAAAATATTTGGTTGCAGAGGGTTAACTGCCGCTATCATCATATATATATATATATATATATATATGTATGTGTTCATAATTATAAAAGTGGTCTAAGTCAAAATTAAAAAAAAATGAGTTTTTTAATTATTTCACACCACATTATTTTAAACTAAATTAATTTAATGTAATTTTCACGATATTGTCAAAAATGAACCGTTAGATAGTGTTTGTTATTACAATATTATATAAAATTCATTTAGTGTTCAAATGTAATCTTTTAAGTATCTTGAAACAAGAGATATATAACTTAGACCATTTTTATTATTATGGACACATATATGAGCAAATGGGAATATTATTATAGTTTATCATTAATAATTGTTAATTAGTATAATTGAAAAAATTGACGTTACTATTGTTTATCATTAATAATTGTTAATTAATATAATTGAAAGATTAGCAATTATTTATTGTCTGTATATATTGTAAATTATTATTTAGTACGATTATAACTTTTATTAAATAAAAAAGTTACGTTACCTTACGCTTATATTTATACCTATGAAGTAATTTATATTTATACCTGAAAATACGTTAATAAGTTGATTAGAAAGTAATTTCTACGATAGATGGCAATTAATTCCTATGTTCAGTTTAACGTAATAGCATTACGATTGGTTAAATATGTTTGGATTTAATCAATTTTACAAACGTCTGACAAAAAGTTGTACTTTCGAGCAATTATGTTATTTTATTTTTTTACAGAAGAAAACACGGTTGAAACGATAAAAAGTAATTGTGGGTGTGTATAATGAAAATATAGTTAATGTACAAACGGTTCAAAAATTTTTTCAAAAGTTTTGTGATCAAGATTATAAGTTTGTGAATGACAAACCTTCTCGTATGTTAATTATTTTAATTATCCAAATTTAATAAATATTAATTGAATATAACATATATTAAATAACAAGGTAAATTGTATGAAAAAATATCAAAGTATTAAACAATTTACATCAGATAGGAATAATTTCTGGGTATGATTGGAGATTGCAAATAACTTAATATTATATCTTATTTTTCATATTTAAAATAAATGTTGTCAACACACTAACCGTCCTGTGACGACAGTTGGTGTCATGTACAAAACAATTGCGTTAACATTGATACCACTGTGGTGCCGTGTTTAACATCAATATTACGAGTGTTCTGTTAACAATAAGTTACAACAATTAGCAAGTTTAATACTTTTATAAAAATTTGTGTCCTTTGATAATGGCAAGTGAAGGAGAAGACATGGTTATACATAATGAATGCGCGAACAGCTTGTCCGAAGTTTCAGTTGAACTTGATGATGGCAAAAAAATAGAAGACATTATAACTTCAAAGGAACAAAGTGAATCAGAATCTTCGGATGACTCCGAAGCACATACACGAAATATTTGGCGATTGCTATCGTTGTCAAATGATTCGGAAGAATCAGACGAAGATTACAGTTCAGAGTGGTTAGATTATGATTTATCTAATACTAGTAACGAATTTGAAAGATTTTCGGGCCCTAACGGATTTCCCAGAAATTTACGGAAAGTCGAAAATGTAGTAAAATTATTTATAGGGGATGATTTGTTCGAACTTATTAGTACCTTAACGAATAAATATTACAATCAAAATTCCCTCAAGAAGAAGCCAAATAAAATAAGGTCCAAATTTGTGGACCTTACGGTAGCCGAACTTAAAAAATGGTTTGGGCTTACTATTCTTATGGGAATCGTAAAAAAACAAAATATAAATGACTATTGGTCGACGAATCCGTTATTGGAAACACCAATATTTCGCAAAACTATGTCTCGTTATAGATTTCGACAAATATTATTATTTTTACATTTTTCGGATGACGATAATAAACCGGAAAATGCTGATCGACTATTCAAGGTGCAAACTATGATTAATTATTTTTCTAAAAAGTTTCAAGAAATCTCTAATCTTAGTCAAAATAATATCAAAATGATACGAATATCTTCTTCTACCATATGTAATGCTAAATTAAGTGACATAACAACACAATTTAAAAAAAGTAAACGCACTATTAAAGAATCTAGAATTACATTGGATAATAATAAATACATGGTAGATGAATTTTTTAAATGCTACCCTATATACAGGGAAACTACAAAATGGTCAAAAAAAGTGATGTTCTACCTATTTTATTGCACTTTATATAATGCGTTCAAATTTTATCAACATTACAACAATGCAGAATGCAAGAATCTCAGCTTTTATGATTTTTTATTGAAAATATGCGATTTTTGGATAAGGGATTATTTACCTGAAGAGAAATCTAAGGTCAGAACTATATCCCATGGTCCCAATTATGATTCGACAAACAGACTTTCCGGGCAACTAAGACAACACCAGTTAATACGAATTTCAAAAAGCGACAAACGAAAACAAAGAAGTTGTTATGTATGTTACAAAAACCATAGAAGAAGGTTAACAAATTTAATGTGCAAGTTTTGTGGAGTGGCGTTACACCTAGGAAATTGTTTTGCTTTCTATCACTTAAAAAAGAAATATTATTAAGTATTCAATAAAAAAAAAATATAAATAAATAAATATATAATACAAAAAAAATCTTGGATTTGTTTACATACAGTCAAACCTGTTTTTAGTGCGGTAGACAGGGACCACATAAAAGAAACCGATCAAAAAAAAAATATTCAGAAATTTTATAAATAGTTATAACAAATAATTTTTCACAACTTATTAAAGAAATTTTTTTTATGTAGTGGAGAAAGACTGCATAAAAGAAAAGTGCACTTAGATAATATGTCAAAGATGTACGAAATGGCGAGAAAGTACTTTTTAAACAAAATAAATAATTAATTTACACGGGGAATTATTTAAAAAAAATGTAATTTCTCATTTTAAACATGTACGCACTTCGAAGGTTCATAATGAACTGATGTTACTACTTGGTGTAATATGTACGTACATATTGTAATTGGATGACACAATATGTACACTGATAAAAAATATTACAACAGTGTTATAATGCCAATACCGTTAGAATTTATATGCTGCATAAAAAATAATTGGTAGAAAATAAATAATGCAAAAAAGATCGCATAGAAAAAGACCACACAAAAACAGGTTTGACTGTATATCCTCAAAATTTCGAGAAAATATAGGGACAGAATTGAGAACTAATGAGAACTGACGACAAGATTAGTACAACTTGAAAAAACAAAAGAATCCCGATTAGACGTGCGGACGACAATGTCAATTAACAAAATTAAATAAATATTAATTGAATATAACATATGTGTGTGTTAAACAACAAAGTAAATTGTTAATGTATTAAAAATATTAAAGTATCTAACAATTTATACTGGATAGGAATAATTTCTGAGTATGATGTTTGGAGATTGCACATAATTTCATATTATACTTCATTTTTCATATTTAAAATAAATTTTCTTAATAATGAACTTAATGCTATGAAATAACAAAATATGTAATTTAATTAATTTTCTGCACTTTGTATTTTATGGAGTTAATTAATTTGTCAAATGAGCGGCTAATATGAGGATTTATTTTGGAAAAATATATCTATAAAGAAAATACGTTATTGTTAAACAAAATATCATCTATTTAAGAAACATTTGTGTTATCACATCTAAAATATAAATGAAATATATTTAATACTTTTTCAATATATTTGGACCTAATCTTTTAAGATATTAAATTTTTATAAATCTTACTAGTTACGTTTATGTAGCTGGGGTGTACTACAGCATTTTATTTGCTCGCTTTATTCCGATAACATGATCATAATTTGTATCTATACGAATGTACTTTAACTCTCTTTAACACTATACGTGTCTATAACTGTAAGCAAAAAATTGTACGTATTTAAAATAAAACAAAAAATGGACAATATTTAAGAATTTATTATAAGCAAACAATTTTGGTTTGTATATATAATTATTTACATATTATTTACATATTATTTACATACATTAAAATTCGCATCTTTAGATTTGCTACTTGCATTTTTTTGTTTTGAAATACTTGAACTTACATTTTGTATATTTGTGTTAATGTTGGATGTACCTGAATTTATTATGATTGATAATAATTGGTCATCTCATTATTTTTGCCATTCTCTTTTATAGATCAAATATCAAAGAATGTAGCAAATTTCGAGCGTGTTGGTTTTTTTTAAGATAACAATCAAACGTTTTCTGCAAACAGAAAAATACGTGTCTTAATGCGTATCTCTATCATATGAATATAAAAATGTATTAATTTAATAGATAGTTATATATATAACTATCTATAGAAATACTATCTATTTAGAAATAAATATATTTTAATAATTATAACTTACTTCGATTACGCATCAAATAGTAGTGCGTGTTTTGTCGTCTAGAAACGTTTGAACTCTTCAGAAATATCGGAGAGTCGTAACTAACATAAATTTCCTGCATTCATTTAAAAATATCTTTTAATATTGAATAGTTTTTCATTAAATTGAATCGAACTATTTCGTTCGACCTAAAAAAAATGTTAAACTCATTTTTCTAAAAATACATTTTTTCATATTAGATTAATACGACAATTGTACACAATTTTATTAAATATAAAATATTTTGTTCCAAAATACATAGGATTGTTTTGAAATTAAAAACTAATTTTTTTGTAATTACAATTTAAAAAGAAAATTATTACTATATCCAGAATTTATTTATTTAACGATGAACCTACCCACGCGTGATCAAATGACTGTGTTCTGTAATTTGTAAAAATGCTGTACATAATATGTAACAAAAATATCGTGAAAACGCATAAAATGTACGTTATTCATTTCTAAATAAAAGAAAATATATTTTCCATTATCCAATTGGTTAAAATCTTATTCTATAATAATATAAATGTTTTTCATTTTAAAGCGGTCGTTTGACAATAGGAACAGGTATACATAAAGGTATCGGTAGGTTTTGTAAGGTTTTGTAATATTAATGTTTGGATGTGTGCGTGTATTTTTTATATTAGTGATACCTTTGTCGCTAAGGTCTTCTTTTGTTTAATTAGATATATACGAATGTGTATGTTGTACACATTTTAAAAACGAATATAAAGTTTTTAATAATAGAAAGTAAATAGATAGTCCATTGGAAATTATTTGTTTAAATTATTTTTTGCACTTTCATCAATAAACACTTTTCATATAATATATTTTTAAAGAATATTTTTTTTTTTTAATAATGTCGAAGTATTATATATATTTTCCATTATATTTTTTTATATTTATTTACAAGTTTAGCATCAAAATGTCGTTATGAAGATTGAATATTTTTACAATAAGGGGATAAAGTTAACAAGAATAAAAATACAAAAGATCTACTGATATCAACAGTGTCTAATGGACGCTGATCAACTTCACATTTAAACTCAACTGTTAAACGTCAGAAAGTGTTTTTATATTTAGGTTCTTGTTCGAAATCATAATATATATAAACAGTTTGTATAATGAA